CGAGCCAAGCTTTCATCTCCGTGGCACTGAATTGAGATCCATTGCCTGTGACGAGCACCTGCGGTATACCTTCCCGACTGAAGCACTTCCGAAGAGCCTGGATCACGAAGGATGTTGTTGGCATACTTGTCAAAAATATTTCCGGCCTTTTTTGAGTAGGAAACAATGAGGACCAAGGCATAGTATTTATTCAGAAATGGGCCGTAGAAGTCCGCATGTACCCGTTGCTATGGTGCATAACTTTCTGTCCATGGAATCCAGTTTTTCGGTTTCGCTTTTACTTTGTGCAGACACGCCTCGCAATTCTTCGCAGTTGTGCAAATGTCTGCATCCAAATCAGGCCACCAACATATTTTTCGGGCCAGAGATTTCATCTTCTCCACTCCCCAATGGCCTTTGTGGAGGTCCCCTAAGACTGCTTTTCGGAGCGGCGGAGGTATGATTAGTCGATCACCGCGGCAGAGCACACTGTCTGGCTGTACAGCTAACTCCTCCAGATGAATGTAGAACTGAGGATGTCTCTTCTTTATATCAGGCGGCTATCCTTTCCATAGGGTCGGAATATTCACTGAGTAGTATTGTTTTGTATATCTTCTCAACGCTTCCTGGGAGAATGTTGATGGTTGGGCGACAAAATGATATTTCTCTGCGGCGCCAAAGCGTGAGTATCTGGATAGGAAGTCTGCTTGTGGAATCGTCTTGCCTGGCCGATGAATAATATCATAATCGTACGCTGCCAGTGCAATACTCCATAGTTGAATCATGGAGGCTGTGGCTTTAGCGATAGACTTGTTGGGGTTGAGTAAGAATTGTGGCGACTGGTGATACGTCACAATAGTAAAATGCAGTCCAAACAAATGCTTGTGCAAATCTCCGGACAGCCCAAAACACCGCCAGGGCTTCTTTCTGGGTCTGCGAGTACCCATTCTCCGCATGGTTTAGCAATCGGGAAATACAAATAACAGGAGGCCAATGCTCCAACATGGCACCACTGCCCACCTCGGACGCATCTGTCAAAAGTGTAATCGATTTTGATGGGGAAAATGATGCCAGGAGTGGACGTTCATTGATGTTCCGTATCAATTGGTGAAG